TATACACATGTAATAAACCAACTTCCCATTCCACTCTGTTAATAACAAGTTACCAACAACGATTCTTTAGAAATGGTTTGGTGGACAGTAGCTTATTGGAGATTATAACATAATTACCATAAGCGCACGATAGCAACTTACCTAAGCATAAGAAACTTAGAGAATGGAACATAATTACATCCAGCCTATACAAAAAAAATCCAATCACATTCACAAAAGCAACAAAAAATGAAAAATAAAAAACAATCAGAAGATTTCAAATGATTTTAACGAGTGAGTATCGATCGAGTCGAATGAATGAAAAGAGAATGTATATTCTCGTGTCCAAAAGACCTGGTGAACCCAAAAATGAGCTTGACAAATGATCGAGAAATAGTAAAGTTCTCAGGTTCAAAAAAACAAAAAGATTGACCAAAAACAAGAAGCGGAGAGAAAGAATGCAAGGGGTATCAGAGTATCAAGGGCTTGGATGAATCCATGTACAGTTTAACACATCCCACACTAGCTACGTCAACGAGCTAAATCAGACATCAGGCGTATGAGACTATGTGCTCAAAGAAAGCGCGGTTTCAGTGGACTTGAGGGCTGGCAAGGAGGATAGAGAGGTTCAGCATCCAATTTTTCTGCAGTTTGCGAGCCTTCCGTTGATGAAAAGATTTTCTCATTTGATTTCGGTGGGCCAGGCGCTCGAACGTTTGCGAATTTTGAGTACGTATTCGCTGGTGGAGCAGCTTCAACGTCGGTAAAGACGACACGATCAATCCGTACACCAACACCTTCCAGTGGTGTGGCATTGAAGATATTGTTCTGTTTCAACATTTGCATTACAGTCTCAGAGTCAGCCTAAGGTACAGATGATTTCACTGGCATAATTCAACTTACCGCAGGGAGGCGAGTGGCTGCGAAGCTCTTGTCACTACTTGCTGCCAGCGTTTTTGCAAAGCCAGAACGTGAATTGAGTGTAACAACCTGTAGACACACAGAACGTTAACATAGTTCGAGAAGAGAAAATCGCAAACATCGACAACTTACCACAGAAAGGAGATACAATTGGGCGGCAGGCAGACTATTCCATTGGTGTGATAGATATAAGTGAGGGGTCAAGGCGAGGGTGGGTCAATTACAAAGGTGCACTCACGTGAGCGCATACAGGATTCCGAGACCAACGTGACCCAAGATGACGATAGAAACCACGGCCAATGCAGTGGTGAAGAAACTATCAAGCGAACGTCAAAAAGTATGAGCAAGTATATCAAGATAAAGAACTTTTGACCGGCCTGACCTTGTCTGAAATGAGAGCATAATGATTTCATTTATAACACTTTAGAGAAAGACATTGGTGAGCATTGAGAATCGAGTGCCGAGAATACAACATTTGCGAGCAAGAACACTCACGATCGAGTTTTGGTGAACTGTGTCTTTTGAGTCTTCAAGAATAGGTAGAGGGCGACAGTGAGGAACATATCTCCAGCGATCTATGAAGGTATGTCGAGTCAGTAGCTGAAAAGACTGAATAATTCAAAATGCAAGTTGAGCGTACCGCGCCGGAGTAAAGCCTGTGACGGAATGAGGGATAACGTTAGCTCAGAGGCAATCTAGATAAAAAAGGCGTTGATGACTCACAAGTAAAGGATTACTAGCAATGAAAGCTCAGAGTATCTCTTAGTTTGGATGAAATGGGTTGACACCATGATTGAGAGACCAAAATGATATAGCGAGAGTACGATCGAAACAATAGTAATTGGGATGTTGTGGTTGGAGAACACATAGAGTCGATAAGTAAAAAAGAGTTGCGCTACAAAAGTCGTGTAAAACTTGTTTCGTCAGAACCAGAAGATGATGATGGTGGACAAAGGCTCACATATCGTTACGACCACTCGTGACAGCAAGATGTGAACTCTAATGGCGAACCGATGGAAATACATAGCAGATCCGGTCAATATGACGAGATGCATGTGTTGACCGGATTGGACAATTGGAAAACCGAAGGTCACTCACCCTAATTCTGGTATGGCCACATCTAAACCTTGATAATCCCCAAAGTGCAAGACGGAGTAATAGTAGACGATCACGACGAAAGACCTTTAAGGAATGTGAAAATCAACAAAGAGACTAGACCATTAACACATCAACCGAGCAAAAAATGTAAGGAAGACTCACGCTGTGTGCACAATAGATAGTATGAGGATGATAATCACGGAACACCGAAGTAATACATGATCCTTCGGGTATCGATATAACACTCGGATAGACTCCATCATCACCATTCCACCTACCCAGGCGCTCGCATACCCTCCCATTCTTAAAAAATTGACATGCCAGGCGCCCACACCAAGTTTGAATCAGTGTGCGTAGACACAAGGTAAGTCTTTTCTTAGGGCGTGATGAGACATACAAGAAACCAGGAAGGGTATAGTTGAGCAATTCGGCATTGGTCTGACTATGAACAGGTGTTTCAGATTGAACCATTTTCGAGTTGCTTGTGGGATTGAGATTCAGAAGAAAGCCTGATAGGTGAGGAGGTGCAGCACAGTATCGAGATGGTCGATTCGCCTCCGAGTCTACGTAGGATGAGATGATTCAAAGGTGGCGAATCTCTTGTCAATCGAGGTCTCACTTTTGTAAGAAAAAGTTAGTCACATTGTTTGGCATTTCTGACCGTCTTGAGAAGTTCCGACCTTTCTCACTCTTTTCATTCCTTGTATGTACTGTACCTTATTGGTTATCATGTCAATCAATTAGAAATGCATAAAGTGGACAGAGGAAATCGAAAGAAAAGCACGGTCCCCAGAAAATACAAATTGAAAGAACATAACGCCTTCAGTTCTTGCTAATCCAAGGTGTTCGACGCAGACAGCGATACAGGGCTGTATTAAATGCAATTCGAGGCGAATGTACATACGGTATACCAATACATACAGTTCAAACTCCAAATATGTAGTGCGTGTTGAGATTTAAAAATCTTTATTGAAACTTGCGTTTTAGCGTGTACAAGGACGGCGAACAACACCTCGTCATCAGCCCTGCGCCGCTGGGGCTCGGTCGCGAGCGACAGCGTGGGACTCTGATGAGTTTAGCCCTGCGGGGTCGCGGCGGTGACGCAACATCTCCTCTTGCGCTCACATTTGTCCAAGACCACCCAAAACACTTCATGGATTGGATAAGAACACCCTATACGAACTAAGATTAGTGCAGATCCCATAACAACGAATGCGATCAACGCGCCAATCGAGGCGGCCTTCCTATGTAGACGGAAGCAACTCAAGAGAAAGAAAATTCAATTTTTGTATTCTTTCAGACTCGAGTGATAGGATATTCCTCCCGCCGCCCGGTGTGATCGTTCCGCTTTCCTTTTCACTTGATCTCCCATCAACGTTTCCATCTTTTGTCTTGTATGTAATTATGTATGTAAGTAGTGTCTCTTGATCAACTACTGTATTCAAGTGTTTTGTATGGACAGAATAGAAGCAGAGTATTACTTTTCCGTTGTCAAAATTGTATTATTGCAATTCTCAATCATGTCAAATTTTGAATTATGTGTCAAAAAGCATCCCAGCCGTGTATACAGTTGACTCCCTCGAAATCCATACCATTTTATGGACCCCAATTGCTATGGCTTTTGTGGGTTTATGGCTTTCAAGGGAGTTATTTTAGGGCAATCTACCAATTTTATGGACTGAAATTTCCATGGATTAACTGGGAGTATGGGGTAAGAGGGGTATGGATTTCGAGGGAGTCGACTGTAGTGAGCAGCAGGAACAGTAAGTGAAACAGTAAACACGGGATCCACAATGATGGGTATTTCAGTACCTATAGTGAGCAGCAGGAACAGTAAGTGAAACAGTAAACACGGGATCCACAATGATGTGGAACTCCGGAAGAGAAAGTACAAGTATATAAAGGTTCTGTCACGTGACTGGATGTGCCGCAGTCGTGTACATCTATGTGACTACAACACCCTCCCCATGACAAGGCACATACACACGTCCTAGCAAGTAAAGAAAAAACAATAAAATCAAAAAAATATTATACAAGGACAACCGTGTTCTGGATTCTGTTCTAGATATAGGATCCTTTTGCCAGTTAGCCAGACTGGAATTGTTTACCCATCTATTGAAACATTTCTACCAGGTACGGTGCCTTTACATCATTCCAAAAAAAACAAAAAATGAAATAAAATTTGAGAAAAAATAAAAAATCTGAAAAAAAACAAATATTTCTAAGATAAACCCAAATTATTTGAGCCAGTTAAGTGATGTTGAGGTCCTAATGCTTTCGTTAGAATGTCTGCTCGTTGTGATTTTGTGTCTATCCAATGTAAGTATATCTTGCCTTTATAAATTTGCTCATTGATGTAATAGAATTCCCTATCAGTGTGTCTTGTTCTTTTATTCGATGAGTTATCCTTTGCAACATGAATCGCTGATGTGTTATCACAGTGTAAGTCTACTACGTTGTTTTCTCCAGTTAGGTCTTCTACCAGATTCCTGATCCATATAGCGTCTCTGCAAGCGGTCCCCATAGCCATGTACTCTGCGTGACATGTTGAGGTTGCCACACATGTCTGCCGTTTTGCTGTCCAAGATATTGGGCAGTTCAGGAAAAACGTTATGAATCCGTGTGATGATCTAGCTCCCTCCCCACCCCAATTTGCGTCTACGTAAGTGTGTAAAGGAGTTTGCTCTTGACATATTGGTTTGATGTTCAGATTCAATACTCCAGTTGTGTTGATGTATCTCATGACTTGTTCGATGGCATTCCAATGTTGTCGACGTGGATCAGATGAAAAACGTGCTAAGAAATTGACAGTGTAAGTGATGTCTGGGCGTGTCGCTACTGATAAGTAGTTCAGGCTTCCAATTGCTGATAAATATCTATTTGAATCAACATTTTCTTCATCCTGATCCGGTGATGTTGGGATTTTTTGAGGATTCATGGGTGTCTTGGCGGTTTTTTCATCAGGTAAGAATGATTTGAGAATCTTCTTCGTCAATCCAGGTTGTGACAGTGAAAAGGTTCCGTCTTCATGTCTTGTAACATTGATGCCTACTATCTGATCTAATTTTGTTTCCCATTTGATTAATAGATCTTTCTTCAATTCATCTGCAATTTGTAATAAAAGTTCTTCACTGCTGCCTGTAACACCACCATCATCACTATGCAACCATATGATAACTGTTTCTTCTCCTCTTCTAAATATGTAAAGTGATTGATCGTATTGGCTGACTTTAAAACCGAGCTTAATTAAGATTTTGTGGATGTGTTTCCACCAGCATCTCGCACCTTGCTTCGTGCCATAAAGAGCTTGTAGAGCTTCTAAGATTTGTTTCTTTTTTCTAGCTTCACACATATAGCCTGTTGGTAGATTGAAATAAATTGTGATATTGATTGCACTATGTAGATAAGCTGATGTTATATTGAATGAGTGTACTGGCCATTTCTTGATTGCTGCAATTGTTAGCATGATTCTTAGTCCGGCAAACATTGCTGTTGGTGCGAAGGTATCAGTGTAATCTATGCCTTCTTTTTGTTTAAATCCTTTCGCTACCAGTCTTGCTTTGAACTTAGTTGGATTTCCTTCGTCATCAATTCTCTTATAAACAAATACCCACTTCAGATCTATTGGTGTGAGATTCTTGTCTTTCGGTCTGTCTACAACTCTCCATACCTTCATCTTCTCCATCATGTTCATTTCTGCATCACATGCCTCTCTCCATTCTTTTTGATGTTCAGATCTCATCGCTTCGGCATACGATTTCGGCGGGGTTAGGATTTTGAGGTACGCGTCACCATCTAGTGCATGGCCTGCAGCTAAATCTTGACGATCAATCTTCAGGTCTTCTGTGAAATCACCCAGCTTCAATGCATTGATTATGTGCTCAATGCTCATTTTCGGGTGACTCGTGGTATTCAAAGGGTTGTTCAGTGAAGTCGAGGATGTTGGTTTAGGTGATTGTTCGTCTTGATTATTGATCTTTTTTAATAATTTGTCTTCGTACGGGAACTGAGCTATGGCAGAGATAATTAACGTCTTAGATGCTGGATCGTAGAATAGCCAACCTTTACCACCTTCTACGTATCCTACCATTATACATTTGCGACTTCTGTCCTCTAATTTTCCTGGTTGTCTTTGGGCGTCATGCGTGTGCACAAAAGCGACTGATCCAAATGTTCGAATGATGTCCAGTTGAGGTTTCTTGCCATAAAATAGTTCATAAGGAGTGATGTTTCCGGTCACAGAATTTGGTATTCTGTTATGAAGATAAACTGCAGTCATGTAAGCTAAATGCCAAAATTGTTGTGGGAGTTTGGATGCAGCAAGGAGTGTTCTTGCCATGTCACCAATAGTCCTGTTCAGTCTTTTGGCTACCCCGTTCTGTTCAGGTTCGTATGGGTTTGAGAATTCGTGTTGGATGCCTTCTGTTTTGAGCCATTTATCAAATGCTGAGCTGATGTATTCTCCCCCTCTATCAGTTCAAATCTTCTTGATCTTCACTCCAGTTTGACGTTCCCATTTCTTGATGATGTTCATGAAATGTTGACTTACTTCCGACTTATGTTTGATAATGACAACATCTGAATAAGTTGATGCTGCGTCTCGAAATGTCACCATTAGTCTTTCACCTGATAAGCATGGCACAAATGGGCCGGTAATGTCTGACACTGCTATTTCTAGCAGGCCTACTTCCCTATTGGTTCGTCCTAGAACACGTTTCCTAGTGCTTTTGCACCTGATACAGTCCTCACATGTTAACATGGATGAGGGCTTGACCTCTGGTAAACCGTATTCAGTTGGCTGAGCAAAGAGCCTTTGGATTTGTCTCATGGCGACGTGGCCAAATCGGGCATGCCATAAATTCGTCAACATAGGATCTGATTTCATTGTGCATAAAGACAAGTTTGAAAAATTTGAAACACATTTGATAGATTTTGAAAAAATGAACCATCTCTTGTTCTTATGAATAGCTTTAAGTTGTTGACCTGTTTTCATCGTCATAACGATATCGTGCTTTTCATCAATTGGCATTTTTGCTCCACCTTTTATCATAGCACCCGGAGACAGGATTGTGGCTGACGCTTTAGGGCAGTAATAGACGTTATCAATTGTCACAATGCTTCCATCTAGTGCACTTAATCGTAGTTGAACTTTACCAACGATAACTGCATTAGTATCCTGTGCTGCGGTGTGGACAGGAATTGGGTTGGGAAGAGGATTGTAATTGAATAAGAGTGACTTGTTGCTGCTTACAGCGTCAGTTGCACCCCCATCAAATAGACACTCAGTGGTTCCATCACTTTCACCATCAGGGAAACGTACACCCTCGGCTGACCAGTCTAATGCTGATGCGTGGACGACACTAGGTTTGGATTCAGACATTTCGACAGATTGAACGTTGACGCGTTGATTTTTGATCGTAGGACGTAAGTGATTGGGTTCAATACCGTTAGGTGGATATAGTGATTTTAAGCTGTACCAATTCGAAGTAGTTTTCCTCCAATCATAGAAATGAGCGCCCTTTCTACCAGTTTCATTCTTATAATCATTACAAACGTCATAGCTATGATTCCAACCACCACAATAAAAACATTCTGGAATACCCATTTTCACGTTGTTGACAGCTGAGTTAGGGATTGAGATGGGGTTGTCTTTTGATGCATTACGTTCATTTGCATTGGGCGATATAGCTGGTGGGCCTGGATTCCATCCTTTAATACGAGTTGGTGTTGCTTTGGTGATTCTGGTGAAGTTTTGTGATCGAGGGGCGTTCATGGGGGATGATCTAGCAGTGAAAAAAGGAGTGTTCATTCTCGGACGAGTTCTTTGGTTAGGTGTTGACATAGCGTTAACTGATAGATCATTAATCGCAGTTTGCAAATTGGAGATTGAGATCGTTTCTGAATCAGTCTTCTCTTGTGCTACATGCATTTGAATAGTGTCACATATTTCTGCTGCAGTGAATTCACCTGACTTTGATTTGAATACCGCATCAAGTTCTCTATTAACACCTTTGGTCATTTCCGGTGGCATGTGTAATTGATATAGAAAGCCTTTGAGTGAGTCATCAGATAATTTGAAACCAGTTGAATTTAATTCAGATAAGATGCTGTTGATTTTTGTGGTGTGAGATAAAACATCTGACTCATGAGGATCATAACGTAAAGAGACAAGTTTCTGAAATAATGCGAATTGGGCAGTTCGTCCTCCTTTTTGAAAGTGTTGTTTCAGAACTTTCAAAGCGTCAAGTGCGTGATCTTGATTTCTCGTTACAGGGCGTAGAGATTCGTCAATCGTGGTTTCAATGACTATCATAGCAGCAGTGTTCTCTTCGTTGTCGAGGCGTGTTGCAAACATCGGTTTGGTGCTTTCCCAGAAACGTTGAGCTCCAGTGATTAGGTATATCGTACGTTCAACGTCGTCCTGCCATTGGACCATATTTGATCCGTCTTTGGCTAAGTGTTTGAAAGTCGTCATCTGAGCAAGATTCACCATCCTATTGACTATGGAGTCAACAGCGCGATCTTCGGCGATTTGAGCTTGTGAGAGGTTTGGTTCCGACATGTTTCTTGATGAATTTGTATTGATGGACAGTAATGATAATTTACGAGTAACAGTGTCTGTAGATCTGGGCAATTCAGGTAATGGTGGTATTGGTTGTTCGTCAGGAGCAGTTGGGGTTACGTCTGGTGGGGAAACAGGAGCTATGTTTGGTCTAAG